AATGTGTAGCTTAGAAATTGATCCATAATCTCAGTAATGTCTAATGAGAATAGTTTTTGGAATCCTATAGAAATTACATTCTCGTATTTAGGAATCTGTAGTCAACAAACATAAGCTAAAGATGCCTCAACTCTAAGCAACTATGCAGTGTTAACAACATAGAGAAACACTTAAAATATTGTAAGATACGCAGACCTATTGTGTTGATGAGGATAACAATGAAATATAATACAACCTAGACATTTAATTGTGACACTGCATCTGTACTGCTTTATGTAAATGGAAATTTCAGAAGAAATTCGTCTCCACTATTGGTGACCAAAAACACTGCAGTATTAAGTTTACAGTGTCAGACGGTAGATTAATAATAATAGAGTTAACTACATTCAATTCTCGTAATCAACACAAACTATGCGTATATTATTACTATACACTGAATAGTTGCAATAAGTAAAACACTGAGGAAAATTAAACGAGTTATTGTCTTCTCAAATGCACTGCACTTGCAACAATCACAAGAACCAACTACATTTGTTAGCCTAGCAGTCAACTAAGCAAACAATGGCACAATATTAATAGAAGTTTCTTCTATAGATTGAATTCACATAACCCATGTTATACTGCGCCAATCAGTGTAAATATATATTAAATCCACTTAGAGAAAACCTTTCAACTTACCATAATTCCTGTCCAAACACAGATACAGTGAAAGACACATCTACAAGATAACTTCTTTACACAAAGAAGGTTCTGTCAGCATTTATAGGTGATTCCATATACTGATAGCATTCGTTTGTCAAATAGTGCTGTTCTTCACATGAAAATAGCCACATTTTGACGTGGTCTTCATTCAATGACACTATGTCGAAAGCTGCAGCTTCCACAGGAAGTAAACGATTTATGTAGATGACATTACCCTCCAACTACCCCATCTTCCTTATAGCGATGTTTTGACTCATTCCGCATGAAACACTAATCAACGCAACCAGTATGCTTAAAGTGTGTCGCAGCCAGATTACAAGACGCGGACACCAGCATAACTAGCAAGGAAATGATAATTCCTATCAAATCAGAAAACATACAACACAATTTTATTGAAAATTAATGACAAAAAAATTTACCTAGCGAAATTTCAACCAACATGCCGGATAAGTCCAGCCTTCAATAACTATACGGTCTGGTTCATAAAATGAGTGTATTTATATATATATCAAATATTTAACAGTTGAAACATTATTAACTTGTAGACAATCTACGATTTGATATTATATCATACTTGATCGTGCCTGTAAAAATGGCATGCATTTTCATGTAAATTTACATGTTTATATGAGAATACACATTATTATGGAGCCTCCTAAATGTTTGTGAATCTCGCTCAATAACCATTTGATTATGCCACATACCAAGTAATTTATAATGAAATCTTAGCTAAGCCCCCGTAATGGACAAAGTTGCCTTCTGTTATTGATGACCTCCCTAGTTTGGCGGACTGGATCATACGACAGGCCATGAGAAGCGAGAATACTGGGATACATTTGAACAGCAAGGAGACTTCAGAGGATCTAGATTTCTCTGACAGTTTATTTCCAATGTCGCCCTCGAGGATCTGCGCGTGAAAACCAACCAGTTTGCAGCAGAAACAGCGAAGATAGGACACAGGAAAGGCAGGCATGTTGAAGATACGCGATGCCCAATAACATCAATAAACACCAGAGACTATCAAGGGTGGTAAGAAACCGGAAATAAGACATTTATTTTACTTATCGAGGCGGAATTGTTTGAAGTATGGATGCCACAGATAAGAATGTCACATAGAGAATAAAGAGGTGAAACCAGCATTCAGTAACCTGAAGCAAGTGCAGAAGTCTAAATGTAAGTGCAAAACTTGGGCTGTGTGGTAGAACGTTATTGCGTATTAGATAGGTTTATTTTAAATGTCACATAGAGGTGTAGCATTACCAACTGGAAGTCTAAAAGCCTACTGAACTTGCATGAGAAAAGAAGCCTGAATTTTAAACACTAATGTCCATCCCTGTGGTTCAACAATGCGATGCAGGCGGCACCTGAAGTATTTCCAACAAGCCTCAGACTTTCATTAACAGCCGCCTTCATTCCAAACTGGAGATCATATTGTCTACTAGAAAGGGTAAACAACGCAGAGCCCTTACTACGTCAAAACCAACAGCTTACCGTTCAGTACAAATGCCGACTAAAGTGGAGATTGATCTCTAAGTAGATAGAAGAGTGGCATCGCATCAGCTCTTTGAGTGAAGTCCGAATCGGGAACGATGAGTGTGAAACTAAAGTTTATGGATGACCATGGACTACATCGAATGGGATAAAATAGAGTTATTCTATTCCCCTAGGATCTCAAGGGGACGTCTTATGCCAGTTTTGATGGAAAAGACTCATATTCTCTCAAGTCACGGAATCAGAGGTTGTTTCTGCTGCCATATGATGCGATCGCTGAATTCAAAATACTGCATACAATGACCAACTTTGACTTTCGCGCAAGCAATATTAAAAGTAAGACAAATGATACGAAGATTTCTTGCTCGGTCTACACTAAACGTACATGGGAGGGTCATTTACAACGGTCAAGCCTAATGACATAGTTCACAGGTGGCTACTATACTTAAGTTCGCGCCGGTGGCACAGTGGTTAGGACTCTTGCCGACCGTGCACATGGTCCGAGGTTCGATCCTTTGCCGACGCATACCTGATATCTATAGTCGGCCTGCAAAATTTGGGCTACCGATATCCATGCTGAAAATTCCATACTTGTACCAAAAATACAGTGTGGAATCAAGCTGTAATAAAAAAATAAAAATCAAAATCAATAGTAAATTTTATTATATTGTTATGTATCAAAATCCTATCAACCAGCAAAACTATGACACAGGTTTTTGCATTTCACGAAAGGTAAACGGCTTTCTATGAACGCGGCGACGGGAACCGATTGAATATTAACCAGTATTGACACCTGGTATTCATATATAGCGAAAAGAATGCTGCTAAACTAACTTAAAAATCCATATTTTAAGTAAGGCGAAATAGGCATCTGTTGGTGGATGTCGGGTAACGCTACTTGACCTATTGTTGTAGTGTGGAATTGTCTGCGCCGGATCACAGGACATCGGAGAGGTTTTTACTGGTTTCAGGTTATTTTTTGCCGAGGTTACTTACAAGTAATTTAATTATTGTGAACATCGAAGGGAGAAAACCAGTAGATTGGAGAGATTCATACGGCATACATACGTTGGAGTTATAGGTAAACATATTCAGCGATGACTGCTACCCAGAGTCATGACAGCTCGAAGTTAGGTGGGAAAATGGTTGTCTTCAGAAGGAGGGGAATTCAGCCTCTTCTCCCACCATAATGCTGTGTTCTCAATGAGGTACAATAAACCTTCTAGGAATCAGTTTCCTTCGCATTCAGACACAATACGTCACGTGAATGAATCAAAGCTACAGCGAATCTTCTGATAAACTAGTTTTGGAGTTACTTGTATTGATGTTGAGTCACCTCAAATCACATCAATTTAATGCTGTTCTTTCCTGATAGCTGGGATATACGCCACTTCAGCTGTGCTGCCGAGCTGATAAATTACTCTATTGAGGGGAACCAAGTGTTAAATACGCAGTAAAAAGTCGTAGAACCACTCCGACTTCAGCCATTTCAAATTTTATTCTGAGTAATAACTTTGTTAGCTACAACGAGTTATGGCACCACCATCCCTCATTATACATGTACATGAATACATTTTTAGCAGGAGGGAGTACAGTATGCTCCTTTTACAAGTCATAAACTATTAGATTACTTCTACCAGTCGTCTCACCTTATTTAATCATTATATTGTACAGAGAGCTATTTTACTCGGGGACACATGACTGGTTTTCATGATATTTTGATAGAAATGCACCCTGGGTTATTACATCAGGTGAATAATTACTGAATGAATTTCTTTTCACTTTGATCACCATATACAGTCAAGTAAAACGATAATCGTGTTCCTCTAAATAATAGAAATAGTGTCACTAAGCAGCTGTAGACAATGAAATCAAACGGATAGTCCCTCTGACCATTTCCACCTACCGTATAAAAATTTACTAGAAAAGCCATTAGAAGAAGTCGGGAATATAGGAATTCAAATGGCGATGAAAACTGGATCCATGTTTCCCCGAAACAAAAATGTACCGCAGTCGTTTCCTTCCTCCTTTGGAATGGTTTTCTACCCTTAGCTAAAAGACTGTGCAAAGTGCTGGTTTTTCCGCTGTGTAAAGTTTTCCCGCCCAAGTACCTACTTAATCAGTACCTTACTTAACCGGCAAGTTTTGCTAACAAAACCGAACCAGAAAGACTCAGATACTTGGGAACATGCTCTGAAGAATGACACTTTTAGATTGGACAAGTGTTAGGATTATTTATGGAGTTTATGTGTTTTGTGTGGCCGGTATGACTGGACCAGGGAAATTAAGTGCGTGCTTGTAAATAGGCAAAAAGGAACGCTCAGAATGAGGTCGGGGCCTAGTAAGGTGGGTATCTGTCAAAATAAATTTTAAGACACTTTCAGCATAACTGGGGGAATATGTGAGTGGTGGGATCTCCCGCAATCAAGGAGCTTGCAAAATTTCCAGAACAAGAAGGGAAAAGAGTCAAAAATCAACGGATTTGGTTTGTGTTTGCCTCATATATATTAGACGCTGAATATTTCTCCTGGTAGCTTAACTTAATGCTTAAATCTGGGAAGTCATTGCATTGCAGCTATCAGTGTGCACACTTAATTCGTGAAAATTTTTCCAACAGGGATCATGATTAGAAACCTATGTGTATTTTTTGGGAAGAATTCATCCTACGAGACTTTCACTCCGAGAGCTCATTGCATACGAATTGCCGTTATCTCTTCATGAGAACCGGAGTATATTCACTTAAAATCTATCAGACTGTAATTTCCGAAATTTTTAAAAGCTTACAAATTAATTGCAACCTAAATTCTGAAGAATCTGCTAGATGTGAACTAAATGTCATATTTGCCGCATTTGCGTTGTGACCTTCGCAGTTGTTATAATTCTTGTAAATGCTGTTGTACGCTGTTCACATATGGAGGAGGTCCGTACAGTGACGCTTAAATCGAATTCTGTAAGATCTTTTTATATTTTCGGAATTACTCCTCATATAGTCTTTCAGTGCTGCACAGCGCCGTGGTGATCACATCGAAACTCACAAACGATGGGCTGCTGGTCAAAATAAACAGAAAACTATAGTCAAAAACCCGAGCAAACTTGAAGAGGATACGGAGGATCTTCACAATGATTTGGTGGATATAGACATTGGCAAGATCATAATGCAGGCGCGGCAAGAGAAGAACCTGACGCAGAAAGATCTAGCCACCAAAATTAACGAGAAACAACAAGTCCGTCCATATTTTTGTTAACTGATCGCTGTAGGTGATTGCTGATTATGAACAAGGCCGTGCAGTGAAAAATCAAGCCATCCTGTCGAAATTGGAGAGAGCCTTGGGAGTTAAGCTAAGAGGAAAAGATAGAGGCAAACCACTGGGAGGTACGAAGAAAACTTAACTCGGATTATATTTGTTTCGCCACTCGTGAATAGTATCATCTGTCTTTATATCTTTCAAAGTAATGTATATTAACCCATCTTTCAGGGAAATACCCATAGCTTCATTTCTGATAACTTAAAACACCTGTCAGTTATTGTTCATCTAAATACAAAATATGGTCTGTTTATTCACCTTATCAATTGCACCGGTCAATAATTCAGTCGTCTTGCCTGGATGTCACGTGGTTAGAATATCTAGAAATTTCTTGTGTGATACTGAAGTAGAATTCAAGGTAGTACTTCAATGCATCACTATGTTCTTCGATCATTTAATTCCAAATGCCGCGAATTATTTTCAGATGGTTTATTTGCTTTTTTTTGGATAGAAAGTTCGCATGGTTTAGAAAGCAATGCTTCATCCATAGTCACTTCTAGTAGTTGGGTCAAGAAAGACAATATCCTGCCCTATTTGCAATGGACAAGCTACTTGGGTCTTATGTGTGATACTACAGGCTACTAGAAGTGATACTTTCAGATTCTGATTGTAAGGATAGACGGCTCTTTTTGCTTATGTTAATCCTCGCGATATATGTATCTTTGCATAGATCCAGTTTGTCCTTGAAAGCGTTCACCGTTGGAGCTGTTACTACTGAATCAGGTAAGGAGTTCCAGTCGTTGACCACTCTGAGAGAATCTAAACTCCAAACGTATTGTATTCGACTCCAGTTTGAGCACCTTTTTGTGATGTCCTCATAAATGTATCCTAGAGGGAGAGAAAAGCTTTGAAAGTCAGTCCCTAAATCATCATTGAATATACGGTAAGCCAAAATTAAGTCGCCTTTCCTCTTTCGGTATGATAATGGGAAGAGATTTAAATGCTCCATCCTCATATTATAAGGAAGTTGTGAGATACCACTAACTAATTTCGTTCCTACCCTCTGTACTCTTTCCAGGATATGTGCTTCCTTTTTGAAGCACGGACTCGCCGCTTGTATGCAGTACTCTAGATGATGTCTGACATATGTTGCATAGAGTACTTGGAACATACCTTCGTCTAATCCTTTGAAAGCCTTTCGAAGTGCCCACAGCATTCGAAAAGCCGTAGCTGCGGCTCGATTACAGTTTGCCGTTGTTTTTAAGTCCCCGGCTTACAATAATTCATGAGTCTTTTTGTCCCCTAACATCTGGCAGTTCTGTGTCCCTCATGGAGTACGACGTGTAAGACTTCTGACCTAGGTGCATTGCCGTGCTTTTCTTGGAATTAATTTCCAGACTCCAAAGGTTAGCCCGTTCGGTTAATTTGTCTAGATCGTTTTGTAGTACCAACTTATCATCTTACACCGTATACGCTGACTTCTGTGCCTCAGATGTTTTAGGGTGAAGTGATTCAAGCATCTTTAGTAACTGTTTCGTCCGGTTTCAGCAATGAAACCTAGATAGGAAGTTGCTTCCTGTTTCTCACTAGACATCTGATTTGTGAAGTTATTTCTTTCATAATTATGTGGTTGGCCGAGAGCAATCTTATGAATTATTATGGTGCCTATCGATTGTGTTCTAACCTGAGGTAAAATTATCAGTGAGTGAGTGATGGCTGTGCTGACATCAGGCATATACGATGGTAACAAGGTTAATGCCCTACAGCCAGGATTTCATGGATGCAGTTCCCGTAAGTGATTACGCTATTCATTTTATCAAAAGCCTCCTGTTTAGCCTCTCGTCGACTGACCACGTAATAGATCTCCATATTTAGAATTCATTAGTTCGTAGTGTTTCCTTCAGAGAAGAGAAGTGACATTTTTTAACAACTGTGTAAGTCGTTCGTAACATGCATAGTTGTCTATAGGATTATATATCTTTCGACACACGCTGGCAGACAGTTTTTGTGTGCTACTTGTAAATCGAAGCACGTGTTTAGTTTCTGTTAGAGGTGTTTCTAATATCTACCTAACACACATTTACTATGCTTGACGGTCTGAGGAAAGGTCAGGTTTCTGATTTGGAAGTATCCGGCTTTGCTGAGGTTTTGCGTGTATTTTTCAGTGGATGTGTAGAGATAAACAGTTACTGCCTGTTGCACTTTGGAAGTGCTTCAATTGACGTTGCTAGTTGTGTTCGTACCATCTTAAATGAGTGGGTTTTTTTAACCCCCTTATCATCAGGATTTAATAACATGTTGGTGAAATCGGTTATTTTTGGGAAATCAGTCAATTATAACCATCCATTTTCCTTACATAGCGAGTTATTTACTGACTTAAAGTACATTGAATAATGTCAGAGATTGATGAAAGAAAGCTGGCAAAATCGTGTAGTGTTTGACGCAATAATTTAAAAACTTCCCAATAAATATTAGGTTCGGAAATCGAGCACGTTACTCTCCTAGGCCATCTGTACCCTATTATTGTTAATGACTATCTGTCTGTTGCGTCTAACTGTGATGATGTCAGTTGGGAACCGACTAATTAAGTTAAGTCGTTCTTTAAAATAAGAAACTAGGGTGCCCAATATCAATATTTTTCAGGCTTCTCACAAAAACATATTCGGTACTGTGTATCAGGCATTTTTTTTGAATAAAAATGTCAAGGGTTTAGTGTTCCATGATCCAAAGGTTGTAGCATATTGGAATACATTTGTGACTAAAGTGTACTGACTGTTGTGATCACTTTGCGAATCATGCGAATGCATAAGTAGTTACTGGAATATCATGGGTGCACTCTTTATACGAGGAGACAACCTGTCGTGTCGCTTCTTTGACCTGCTGATATGGTTGCCTAAAATTACTTTCCTCCCAAAAAATAGATTGATGCAATTTTGATTTGACACTATTAATTAGTGTGATGTGTCTAGTCCTCTCATTGGTGCAGACTGAATTCTATCAGTCAGCTTGTAATGTGGCCACCATTCTAGGTAGCTCGTCATCATGGTGCACGTTGATTTGATGATATTAGATGGTTGGAGGCAATCGGCAGGAAACCTTAGACCTAAGTTTTGTGTTAGTTGGCACTCGTCAACAAGGCGTATCTGCAATCTGGAAGGAACTCATGTCCCTTATGAGATTCGAACCCACGTCACCCAGCGCTGCAGTCAGAGACGTTACCACTGAGCTATTCGGGCTCGCGATTGACCTCCTGTAGGACTTCATTTAGCTGGTAAGTTCACCTGAAGGTGAAAGTCTTCTCTTGTGTTTACAAATTTATTTATTATTTTTCTTTTTTCTTTCACGTTCCCAGTGAAACATAGGGTTTCAAGCTAGTGGCTGAGTTTTTGTAGCAGTGTTCATTTTTACAGGATGGGGTTGCTAGCCCTATGCCCAACCTTTCCTCTTAACCAGCATTATTTCTAGCTTAGCGAGGTTAAGGAGTGCGTCTGTTGGCCGGGGATCGAACCCCGGACCATGTGCATGGTCGGCGAGCGTCCTAACTGCTGCGCCACCAAGGTAGTTGTGGTTACAAACGTGAACCAAAACTAAATTATCAAAGGTTTTGTATATTTCAGTCCTTAAGCAGAGAAAAAACTGGTTGTTTTGTTGTCTCCCTGTCTTATGTATGCGTATCGAGTAGTTATTGATAGGAATACCTGTCAGTTAATTGCGTGTACAATTAGTTAGCAATATGTACCACAGGTGTTATTTTAAGGCTACCACCTGGTTGCCCTAACCTTTGTAGGTGGAGTATGTGGTTCGAATAGGTGAACCATAGCTTGGATATTCATTACCCATCCCATCAAGCCATAGTTCCATCTCTAATAATCTCTCAATATTTCTGCACCAAGATTATTACTGAGTGCCACTCTACCTCTGTTATTGTCTAAATGTACACAGTTATTTCAATAATTTAATAATTCCCATTGTAGCATTAAGAACACAATATTCAGCGAAGAGACTCTTTTCAACGAATTTATTATCAAGTTGTACAGTCGTATATATATATATATATATATATATATATATATATATATATATATATATATATATATATATATATATGTTTTATTTCAGAAATTATATCCGGTGAGGGAATTATGTCAAAGGTGTGAACACATAAAATAATAATAATAATAGTATGAAATGCAATTCAAATTAAAGTGTTTGTGATTATAGTCATAGTTAAATGTCAAGTAGCAAAACAATCAATGTCATTTGTAGAATAATACATAAGGTGTATAGATGGATTCAGAATGACAAGTGGGACAAATGGAAACCATTAAATATTAATAATAGTGATCGTAGTAATGAGGGAAAGGTACATAGCATAAGTGAATAAACAAAATATATAAATAAATGTTCATCCTCTATGGCCAAGACAGAAGTAGGGATTGTGCATACTTCTTTTGTACACAAAGGTCTGGCTGGCTTAAAGTTATGAATGGCCTCTGTCTTTAGAAGTTTGTAACGAAGAAAACGCAGCTGGCAAGTTAGCATGGATTCGGTAGATGATCTTGAAATCATGGTCAGGGTTGGTAAAGAGACAGGAGTCGTTGAGGTGTTCTAGAATGGAGCTTCGAACACACTTCCTTTCTCCCTTGTAAAACCATGTGGCTGGAATAAGTTCTCATATCTGTGTGGAAAGCGTCCTCTGGCTACGGCTAATATACCTTACTCTACAAGAGCAGGTGAACTGATAGATGCACATGGATGCAGCCAGACGGGGAGCTTATCTTTTACGGGAACCAGTTAGAAAGCAAGCATCTAAGTTTTCCATTGATGATACGTTTAAATTTATTGATACCATTAAAGATTTTAATGTCTCAGATGAAGTCATGTTCTCATTGAATGTGACCTCGCTATTTATCGGTATACCCCTCATGGAAACTGTTTTGCTATTTATGTCTGTCTGTCTGTTTTCGACATGGAAATTTGCACTGATGTGCGGCATTTCGAGTCACCACACTCCCTCTCTTTAGCACACAAAGCAACAGAAGAAAGTAGACGAAGTGCATAATAGAGACAGTAAACAGAGGTGTGAGACAAAGTAATAGTAATAACGAAGAACAGTATAGTTTCAATGGGTATTATAAGTCACAAGGAGTGGATGCATCTGCACCAGCCATTGAGAATGACTTTGAGCCATATCACCGATTGTCTCCAACCATAGATTTTTACCGTCCCGAGGACCCCAACCAGGAAGTCTACACCTTCCTACGTGACTAGCTGGCTTAGACTAACTGTTGTGGATTTCACTGACTGATGAG